TTTCCTTTCAAGCCCTCACCAGAATCACCTTTCAAAAACTATATTTCTGCCAAAAGCCTCTTCAAGCAAACTAGACTTTTTCTAACTTGTGTCACAAAATTCTTCCAGCCTCTACTCATTACCAAATCCAAAGCCACTTACTCATTTTTAGTTACCTGTTAAAGGAGCACCCCACTTCTCCATACAAAAATCTGTATTCGTTTCCTTGGGCTACTGTAACAAATTACCATAGACGGGATAACAAAAGCAACAAAACTTCATTCTTTCACAATTCTAGAGCTAGAAGTCCAAAATCAAGGGGTCAGCAGAGTTGGTGACCTCTGCAGGCTGAGGGAGAAGATAGATGATCCATGCCCCTCTCCTAGATTTTGATGGTTCCCAGCAATCCCTCACATTCCTTGAATTGTTGTGAGATCACTCCAATCATGGTCTGTTTCCATTTTCTCATGGCCTTCTCACCTGTGTGGCACATCACTGTTTATCTTCTCCTCTTATAAGGACAGTTGTTCATACTGAATTTAGTCCTTATCCTAATCCAGTATGACCTCATCTTAACTATACATCTCCAAAGACCTTTGTCTTAGTGTGTCCAGGGTGCTATAACAAATATACCATCAACTAGGTCAATTTTTTTTTTTTACATTTTTACTTAGATAAATTTATTTTATTTTATTTTTTAAAAGATTTTATCTATTTATTTGAGAGAGAGAGAGTGAACACAGGGAGAAGCGACTCCCCGCTTAGCAGCGAGCCCAATGTGGTGCTCAATCCCAGGACCCTGAGGTCATGACCCCAACGAAGGCAGATGCTCAACCAACTGAGCCACCCAGGCATAAATTCAATTAATTAACATACAATGTATTATTGGTTTCAGAGGTAGAGGTCAGTGATACATCAGTCTTATATAACACCCAGTGTTCATTACATCACATGCCCTCCTTAATGTCCATCACCCAGTTACCCATCCCCCCCATCTCCCCTCCAACAACCCTTAGTTCGTTTTCTATGATTAAGAGCCTCTTATGGTTTCTCTCCCTCTCTGGTTTCATCTTATTTTATTTTTTCTTTCCCTATGATCCTCTGTTTTGTTTCTTAAATTCCACATTATCAGTGAGATCGTGTGGTAACCTTTTTCTCTGATTAACTTATTTTGCTTAGCATAATATCCTCTAGTTCCATCCACGTCATTGCAAATGGCAAGATTTCATTATTTTGATGGCTGAGTAGTATTCCACTGTGTATGTGTATATATATCACATCTTCTTTATCCATTCATCTGTCAATGGACATCTGGGTTCTTTGCATAGTTTGGCTATTGTGGACATTACTGATATAAGCATTGGGGTGCATGTGCCCCTTTGGATCACTACATCTGTATCTTTGGGGTAAATACTTAGTAGTGCAATTGCTGGATCATATGGTAGCTCTATTTTCAACTGTTTGAGGAACCTCCATACTCTTTTCCAGAGTGGCTGCACCAGCTTGCATTCATTCCCACCAATAATATAACAGGGTTCCCTTTTCTCCACATCCTCGCCAACACCTGTCATTTCCTACATTGTCACTTTGAGTCATTCTGACTGGTGTGAGGTGGTATCTCATCGTGGTTTTGATTTGTATTTCCCTGGTGCTGAGTGATGTTGAGCACTTTTTCATGTGTCTTTTGGCCATTTGGATGTCTTCTTTGGAGAAATGTCTGTTCATGTCTTCTGCCCATTTCTTGACTAGATTATTTGTTCTTTGGGTGTTGAGTTTGATAAGTTCTTCATAGATCTTGAATACCAGCCCTTTATCTGATATGTCATTTGCAAATATCTTCTCCCATTCTGTTGGTTGTCTTTTGGTTTTATCAACTGTTTCCTTTGCTGTGCAGAAGCTTTTCATCTTGATGAAGTCCCAGTATTTAATTTTTGCCTTTGTTTCCCTTGCCTTTGGAAACGTGTCTAGTAAGAAGTTGCTGTAGTCGAGGTTAAAGAGTTTGCTGCCTGTGTTTTCCTCTAGGATTTTAATGGATTCCTGTCTCACATTGAGGTCTTTCATCCATTTTGAGTTTATCTTTGTGTATGGTGTAAGGAAATAGTCCAGTTTCATTCTTCTGCATGTGGCTGTCCAATTTTCCCAACGCCATTGTTGAAGAGACTGTCTTTTTTCCAGTAGATATTCTTTCCTGCTTTGTCAAAGAGTAGCTGACCATAGAGTTGAGAGTCATTTCTGGGTTCTTTCTTCTGTTCCATTGATCTATGTGTCTGTTTTTGTGCCAGAACCACACTGTCTTAATGATGACGACTTTGTAATGGAGCTTGAAGTCCGGAATTGTGATGCCACCAGCTTTGGTTTTCTTTTTCCACATTCCTCTGGCTATTCAGCGTCTCTTCTGTTTCCATACAAATTTGAGGATTATTTGTTCCAGCTCTGTGAAAAAAGTTGATGCTATTTTGATAGGATTGCATTGAATGTATAGATTGCTCTAGGTAGCATAGACATTTTAACAATGTTTATTCTTCCAATCCATGAGCATGGAATGTTTTTCCATTTCTTTGTGTCTTCCACAATTTCTTTCATGAGTGCTCTATAGTTTTCTGAATACAGAAACTTTGCCTTTTGATTATGTTTATTCCTAGGTATCTTACGGTTTGGGGTGCAATTGTAAATGGGATCAAATCCTTAATTTTTCTTTCTTCGGTCTCAGTTAGTGTATAGGAATGCAACTGATTTCTGTGCATTGATTTTATACCCCTCCCCTTTGCTGAATTGCTGTATGAGTTCTAGCAATTTGGGGGTGGGGTCTTTGGGTTTTCCACATAGACTATCATGTCCTCTGCAAAGAGTGAGAATTTAACTTCTTTGCTTATTCGATGCCATTTCTTTTTGTGTTTGATTGCTATTGCTAGTACTTCTAAGCACTATGTTGAACAACAGTGGTGAGAGTGGGCATCCTTGTCATGTTCCTGACCTTAGGGAAAAAGCCCTCAGGTTTTCCCCATTGAGAATGATATTTGCTGTGAGTTTTTCATAGATGGTTTTTATGATATTGAGGTATGTTCTCTCTATCCCTACACTGTGAAGAGTTTTGATCAAGAAAGATGCTGTATTTTGTCAGATGCTTTTTCTGCATCTAATCAGAAGATCATATGGTTCTTGTCCTTTCTTTTATTAACATGGTGTATCACATTGAATGATTTACAGCTGTTGAACCACACCTGCAGCCCAGGAATAAATCCCACTTGGTCGTGGTGAATAATCCTTTTAATGTAATGTTGGATCCTATTAGCTACTATCTTGGTGAGAACTTTGTGTCCATTTCATCGGGGATGTTGGTCTGTAATTCTTTTTTTTTTAGTGGGGTCTTTGTTTGGTTTTAGGATCAAGGTAATGCTAGCCTCATAGGATGAGTTTGGAAGTTTTCCTTCCATTTCTATCTTTTGGAACAGTCTCAGAAGAATAAGTATTAATTCTTCTTCAAATGTTTGGTAGAATTCCCCTGGGAAGCCATCTGGTTCTGGGCTCTTATTTGTTAGGAGATTTTTAATTACCACTTCAATTTCCTTACTGGTTGTGTATCTGTTCAGCTTTTCTATTTCTTCCTGGTTCAGGTTTGGTAATTTATATGTCTCTAGGAATGCATCCATTTCTTTCAGATTGCCTAATTTGTTGGCATATAGTTGCTCATAATAACTCTCTTCTAATTGTTTGTATTTCTTCGGTGTTGGTTGTGATATCTCCTCTTTCATGATTTTATTTATTTGGGTCCTTTCTCTTTTCTTTTTTCTCTGGCCAGGGGATTATCAACAATACTAAGTCTTTCAAAGAATCAGCTCCTAGGGTGTCTGGGTGGCTCAGCCATTAAGCATCTGCCTTCGGCTCAGGTCATGATCCCAGGGTCCTGGGATCGAGCCCCGCATCCTGCTTCTCCCTCTCCCACTCCCCCTGCTTGTGTGCCCCTCTCTCTCTGTGTGTGTGTCTCTCTCTGTCAAATGAATGAATAAAATCTAAAAAAAAATAAAAAGAAGAATCAGCTCCTAGTTTCTTTGATCTGTTCTACTGTTCTTTTGGTTTCTATTTCATTGATTTCTGCTCTAATCTTTATTATTTCTCTTCTCCTGCTGGGTTTAGGCTTTATTTGCTGTTCTTTCTCCAGCTCCTTTAGGTGTAGAGTTAGGTTGTGTATTTGAGACCTTTCTTGTTTCTTGGAAAGGCTTGTAGTGCTATATACTTCCCTCTGAGGACCACCTTTGTTGCATCCCAAAGATTTTGAACTGTTATGTTTTCAATTTTATTTGTTTCCATGAATTTTTTAAATTCTTCTTTAATTTTCTGGTTGACCCATTCATCCTTTAGTAGGGTGCTCTTTAGCCTCCATGTATTTGAGTTCTTTCTGACTTTCTTCTTGTACTTTGTATCATTATTTGTGCTTTTCCATCTTTTTAGACTCCCAGAGACCCTGTGTTATACTTTCATTGCCTGGATCTAGCAATACCTTTCATGTAACTACATTCCAGAAATTCTTATTGTTAACTAATTAGTAGTTGATCTTCCTCTTAGTTTCTATCACTTGATTCACATTTTTTTTAAAGATTTTATTTACTTATTTGACAGAGAGAGACACAATGAGAGAGGGAACACAAGCAGGGGGAGTGGGAGAGAGAGAAGCAGGCTTCCCACTGAGCAGGGAGCCCAATGCGATGCGGGGCTCAATCCCAGGACCCTGGGATCATGACCTGAGCCCAAGGCAGACGCTTAAGGACTCAGTCACCCAGGTGCCGCTTGATTCACATTTTAATAGTCCATTCATTGCTTTCTCACGCACTGCTACCTTTCAAGCTCTCTTTAATTCAGCATCCTTGTTTTAACCCACTCTCTCCCTAATCACTCCTATGTTCCTTTCTGTCTTCCGCCTTCACATATTTGCTAACCACTTCACTTGTCTGGTTTTTCCTATGTCGACATGGGATTACGTAATTATTTTTAATAACTTTTGGCATGCAAATATTATAAATACTCTGTCTAGGTTGTCCAGGAGCAGAGTCAAAGAAGTACGGTTCTCTCGGATATACCTGTAAGGCACCATGGAAAGAAAATTCATCATGGACACTTCAGGCAAAGTAAGTGCTACCTTTAAAATAGATCTATATCATTTTCATCAGTTATCTAAAAACATACACTGAAACAAAATCAAGACACCATTTTCTCCAATCAGACTAGCAAAGATTTTTAATGACAATACCTAATGTTTCCCACCTATGGAAACTCAAACATCACTGGTGGGAAAACAACTTGCTAGAAATTTCTTGGGTGATAGTTTGAAAATATTGTATCAAATGTCTTAAAAATTTGCCTATCATATGACCCAGAAATTTATTCAAAGGAAATAATTATGTTGTTTTTATAAATAGGTTAACTGTGGTATTGTTTTTAAGAATATAACACGGGAGGGACGCCTGTATGGCTCAGTCAGTTAAACCTCTGACTCGATTTTGGTTCAGGTTGTGATCTTGGGGTGGTGGGATCAAGTCCCACATTGGGCTCTGTGCTCCACACGGAGTCTGCTTGTCCCTCTCCCTCTGCCCCTCCCAACACTCGTGCTTGCTCACTCTCTCTCTCTGTCAAAAAAAAAAAAAAGAGTATAACATTGGAAGCAGATGTGTCAAATACTAATAAACTGACTAAATGAGTTATGATATATTAGTCAATAAAGTCCTAAGTGATCATTTTAAATTACCTGGAAAACATTTATAAAGCAAAATGCAAAAGCAGACTCTAAAACAGTATTCTTAGTAGGATTACACAAACACACATAGACTATCAATTGGAAACACTTACCCTAAAATGTTACAAATAGTAATATATGGGTGCCAGACTTGCAGTTTTTCCCTTTTACCTTTGTCTGAGTTTTCCAAGTTTTTTGCCTTGAGTGTGTATCATTCTGAAATTACAAAAGATTTTTCATAAATTTTTACTTGAGTTCAGTAGGTAAAAGCAGAATTATTTCATCCTGAAACAAGTAATGTTTTCTCCTTTTTTGTTTAAGATTTATTTATTTATTTTGGGGGGGCACGTGGTGGGGAGGGGTAGGGCAGAGCCAAAACTGAGAGGCAGACCCAACCGACTGAGCTACCCAGGTATCCCAGAAGTAATTTTGTTTTTTGGTATCATTTATTTTAATTTCTCTTCTGGCATTTGTCCCTTTTCTTTGTATTATAAGATATATATTAACTCCTCCAGTGGTGTCTAAATTTCTTGAAGACATAACAGATTTAGTCAGCTCAGTACAACTTACAATTACTAGTGCAGTAAACCTGCAAATGGAACATACATAAAATTATAACGTGTACTAACCCCACCAGATATTAAAATAAATCAAAAACTTAAAGTATTCAAATCATCAAGATGGCTGCTGCAGGAACTGCCAAGAAGAAAAATGGGACAATAGAAACAGTTTCCAAAGAGCAACCTAACCTGTAGATGTAAGAACTTCTGTAGTAAAGGGGCTAATTTAAGCAGAAATGAAAGAAACAATCAAGAGTTCATGCTAGGACAATTCATTTAGATTCTATGATGGCACATCACACAAAAAAATAATTTTAAGTTGGATTTAAGAATTAAATATTTAAAAATCAAACTATAAAAATCCAGAAGGAAGATAAATATTTAGTCTCTATATGGAGAGAATCTCCAAAGTATAAAAATGGAATAAATAACAAAGGAAAAGATACTTCAACTAGCCAAATTTTAAAATGTGTGTGTGTGTGTATGTGCATGCGCATGCATGTAACTTCATAAAAATTAAGGTTCAAATATCAACCAGGGAAAATCATGTATGACAAGCTGACAGATAATAACTCACTCCTTTAATGTGTAAAGAGGTCAAATGATTAATAAGAAAAACTCCAAGATGCCAGTAGATACTTATATTAACTATATGACCAAACACTCCACAAAACAAGAAAATACATATGACTAACATAAATATAAAAAATATTCAACATGATTAGCATTCAAAAAATACTAGTGGAAAAAAATAACTAGCTTTTTGTAACCTATTAGATACTTTGGTTTTAACGACTACTGTCAATGCTAATAAGGGTGGAATAAATGATGATACAGATATTCTTTTATGCTTCTAGGAATTGTGCCAAATTATTCAACATTTCTGTAAAGAAATTTGGAAATCAATTTAGCCCTAACAATGTCTCTATCTTTTCCAAAGTAATTGTTACTTTGGGAAACCAGGCAAGTCAAAATTATGAACGAAGTTGTTTGTCACTGTATACTTTAGAATAGTCAAAACAATGGAAGTAATTACATATCTAAATAGTTATTAAGCAAATTGGGACACATTCAAATGATGAAGTACAAAGTAGCCATTTAAATCTCTGATTACAAAGCATTTGGAGTCATGAGAAAATGCTTACTTACAAGTAAATGATAAATGCTCACTATATGGTGGCTGTTACTAGCAAAAAAGCAGAATACAAAACTGCTTGTAGATACAGTCTCAACTACATCAGAATTGTCTTAAGAGACTGGAAGGGAATATGCTAAAATTTCAACAGGTTGTATGTGAAATTGCAATGATCCTTCTTCTGTTTCTTTTTGATTTTTGTATTTTTACTAATTGTAACAAATAAGTGGCATTTGTACGACCAGAATAAAAGTTAAATTTTTTCATTAAATGATGTCATTTTATTGTCGTTGTGTCAACAGACAATTACATGCCGGGCTGCCATTGCCTGGGCGGCAAATTCTACTCTTTCAATTGAGGAAGTACAAGTTGAACCACCAAAGGCTGGGGAAGTTTGAATTAAGGTAAACTTAAGTCTTTTAACTTTTACCTTTGAAGGTAAATGTAAGGAAATCCTGTCTCATTTCATATATATATTACATATATATATATATAAAATATGTATAAAATTTGCATTTGGGGTTTGTCCACTTTTCTTAGTAAAAGAAGAAATTTTAAAACTAAGATAAATGAATAGAGGTAATGAATGTTTAAAATATTCTTAATACTTGTAAAATACTAGTAGTTCACTCATCCACTGTAATTATTTTTTCAGGATTGAAATTTTTACTTAAATTATATAATACCATAGGCCTATATACTTCACAATGTGACCTAGAACGTGCTTTAAGTAGTAACTTTTTTTTCATTTTTGAGGGAAAGGGGAGAAGAAGTGCATTTCTCCCTACTTGTATGATACAAAATTGATATCAACAAATGAATGTGCAGTGACTAACAGACTAATTTTCTATCTCTATTGTTTTGGGCTCATACATTATAATAACCTCAGAGTTTGTTGAAAAAGTTCACTCTGTGGTAAATTTCAGTTTCTAGGAATGAGCAGCTAGGACTCCATGATAGTCTCCAAAGCGACTTGGAAGAGTTAACCATTATTGAACAGAACTTAGACCAGGGATGGGAGAACACTGTCCTGTCAAAGACTCCTTGCCACTCTCAAATCACCTCTCAATCACTGCATCTCAAATTTTACAAAATCATTAAATACCCAGTATTCAGAGTATTATTGTGTTAAGTCTTATTAAACATTAACTTCACCTATCTTCTAATTTGAGACCAGGAAATTCAACACTTGATTTAATGAACACAACAAATACTGAAAGCCACATGCTTCTAGTCCACACTATATCTAATCAAAGTAGAAGGTATAGGAGGATGGTTACAGGAGAAAAAAATGAAGGGAATTGGAAAGATGACAGATGGAAAGGCAATGAAGGGAAGGAGGAAAGTAGAAAAAGACAGATAGGCAGTGAAAGACAAAACAGGAGAATATGGGAACTAACATTGAATATATCAACTCCATGTCTAGTGTTACACTAGAGATTTTATTTCACCAGTGAGAGATGGTAAAGAACAAAATGAAAAGTGATAAGAATGTACACAGAGAAAGGAGTTTAGTAACTGACTGCTATTCAGAAGGTATGTTTTTTTTTTATTTTATTTTACTATGTTACATTAGTCACCATACAATACATCATTAGTTTTTGTTGTAGTGTTCCATGATTCACTGTTTGCATATAACACCCAGTGCTCCATGCAATACATGCCCTCCTTAATACTCATCACCAGGCTAACACATCCCCTCACCCCCATCCCCTCTAAAACCCTCAGTTTGTTTCTCAAAGTCCATAGTCTCTCAGAAGCTATGTTTTTCTATTTATCATCCATCCAAACAGCTTTTAATTAGTGCTTATTGTTTGTTTGTTTTTTAAAGATTTTATTTGTTTATTTGACAGAGAGAGAGCGAGAGAGGGAACACAAGCAGGGGGAGTGGGAGAGGGAGAAGCAGGCTCCCCGCTGAGCAGGGAGCCCGATGCGGGGCTCAATCCCAGGATCCCGGGATCATAACCCGAGCCAAAGGCAGACGCTTAACGACTGAGCCACCCAGGCGCCCCAATTAGTGCTTACTGTATACTGGGTCACCAACTGCTGAAATGTTTCCTAATTAGCCAATATTCTCTTCTTACACTGATAAGCTCCTTCACCACAAAGGTAACCCCTAAATAATAAATCCACAGGCCACCAAGGTAGATGTTGCGGCAGCAAGAACTTGAGCAATATCACACTGAGCCCTAGACAAAATCAAGCTTAAGGACTGGATCTGTTCATAAGCACAGACAATTCCACCTCCAGCTTATGCCATGGACAACTTCCCCAAAATAACTGCATATTTTTTTCTGATATATAGAACAAACCTAACAAGGGGATTCCAGCCTGCTGCTTACCTGAAACAACACTTCTGGCCTTTGATAGCATCTTGAAGCCATTTTAGCACTGTGGCAACCCAAACCACAGCATATTGCTCATGAGATATATTCTTAGCCATTTGCCACAATCATACACATGGTTGTTCCCAGCGTTCCCGTTATAAATGCTGCCATTCCCACTACTACACATACTGGAAAACTAGTCAGTCTGTTTGGGCATATGTTTTCCTGGCTATATTCTGGGCAGAGCAGTAACTTAGGGGCTATGGTACATGAAATGTTTCATTTTTATGATCAATGTAGTTGGATCAGGCCTATTAACAGACAAGAAAACTCAAACCATTAAGTAAGAAGTTTTAAAACTTTTCAATGTCAGGGAGCCTGGTGGCAAGGTCGTTAGGTGTCTGCCTTCAGCTCAGGTCATGATCTCAGGGTCCTGGGATCGAGCCCCACATCAGGCTCCCTGCACCACGGGAAGCCTGCTTCTCCCTCTCACACTCCCCTTGCTTGTGTTCCCTCTCTCTGTGTCTTTCTCTGTCAAATAAATAAATAAAATCTTAAAAAAAAAAAACACTTCTCAATGTCAACTAAATTTTGTAATGGTTAATTTTAACTGAAACTCATTATTAATTTAAAGGATGTTTCCAATATACAAGTTTAAAATGCTAAAAAACAGATTTTCCCAGAGCACAGGAAAAACATTCCACAATACGGGCCTAAAATTCTTTCTCAATGGCGGTGCTATTGATAATGTGGGCAAAAAGTCCTTCATCGTATGCAACTGTCCCTCATATTTCAAAACTATTTGATGACATAAATGTACAGAGTAGATTTCAAAAAACCTAAATTTATTTCCAGATCTGAACATGTGCCATGTGACTTTGGACAAGTCATTTTCAGTCTTTGAATCTCCCTTTCCTCATCTCTAAATTGGAAATGATAAGATCTGCCCTGTATTCCTCTGAGCATTGGTATAGGGATCAAATGACATAATTCATGTAAAAAAATTTTAATAATCAGATTCAGATTTAAGAAAGAAAGAAAGAAGAAAGAAAAAGAAAGAAAGAAAGAAAGAAAGAAAGAAAGAAAGAAAGAAAGAAAGAAAGAAAGAAAGAAAGAAAGAAAGAAAGAAAGAAAAAGAAAGAAAGAAAGAAAGAAAGAAAGAAAGAAAGAAAGAAAGAAAGAAAGAAAGAAAGAAAGAAAGAAAGAAAGAAAGAAAAAGAAAGAAAGAAAAACTCCAAACCAACTGACCCTTGGTCACTTAATTCCTATGCAGATGGCATCTACAGGGATCTGTGGTACTGACGATCATGCAATAAAAGGATTAATCTCAGCAGTCTTTCCTTTTATCCCAGGCCATGAAGGAGCTGGGATTGTGGAGAGTATTTATTGGCAAAGGAGTGAGCTCAGTGAAACCAGGTAGGAAGTGGGGCCATGAAACCCTTCCCACAAAAAGCCTCCCAAAGAGCAACCCTTGCACAGAAGAGGAACTTAAATGCATTAACATATATTTACAGGAGAAAAAAATGGGTTTGCCTCTAGATCTTCTAACTAATCACATATCATTATATTAAGTGTATCCAGGGACTCCAAGAGTCACAATTTCCCTACTGTCTTCTCTAGCAATCCAGAGGGGCAATAGATGAGCCAAGTGTATATCCATAGCTAAATAAGATTTGAGATAGGACCAGTGTACCTCTAAATAGATTGAAAACTATTGAGACTGTTTCTTATATATATATTTTTACCCCCCACTTGCCTAGCACAGTGCCTGTCCCGGGGTTAGAATGCATTAGAATGTTTGACAAATGAATGTTCTAATCAACTGGAATATAGAATTTGGATTTTAATTGACAGGATGATAAAGATATTTCAAAGAATCAAAGAAAGCAAGTATATGCTCTTCCCCAGACAATCAAAAAAGATTTTGACATAGCTATTCTTAGTACGTCTGAAATGAACAGAATGAATAAAAGCAATCACACAGATTAAGATACTACAGAACCTCACAATTTGGAGCCAGGAACACAAAGAGATTTAAGAGAGTGCATAGTCAGGACACTTGTGAAGCTCTTACCAGGGAATTCATTTAGCAAACAATTATGGAGTGGCTACCATGCATCTGATGCTATGCATAGCAGGGGGACAAAAGTAAAAGGCATGGTCTCTATGTCTCCAAGAACATAATGCAAACAGGTGAGATATATGCTCTAACTCATCCTCTTTAGCTAGAAAAAAAATTCCAGTGAAAGTTTTGTGAAAAACAATGAGCATTTGGAGGGAAAGGATAAGACAGCAAAAGTTCTCCTGAATTTGAGATCCAGGACCTTTGAAATTTTTAAGGGCCAGTGAAGTTAAGATGTGCCTTATTTAAACTTACAAGAGGTTTTAATGCCATCTAAACTCTGCAAGAGACCAAGGGTGGGGTGGGGGTGGTTCTTTGTTAGGAAAATTGTAAGGGCCGTAGCAACAATATTGTAGACTTCTGACCAGGTCTTTGTAAATCTGTGATGACTGTGTTGATTAATTTTCTTCACAGACCCTATCCAGACTGTCACCCTAAGGCCTAGGAAGGCTAGCTAATGACTGGATCCAAATATAATCAATATTCTCTCCAGAACTCTCTCTGCAGAGGGAGAGTGATTCCTTTTATTCTCTGGAATTAGCCTATCTAGGAACTTAGCCCCACTAAAGAAAATATGTCAGAGGCTGCTATGGGTCAGTGTGCCATCATAGGGCAAGAAGACTCAATGAAAAGTGCTCTGTTATTACCTACTTAGGCCACTTTATGCAGGTGACTACACTGTGGGGCTTAAATCCTTCAAATGGAAAACAAAAGGGTTAAACTAGATAACATCTGTAAGGTTTTAGTCTTAGTTTCATTATTGTATTTCCAGAGCAGGGGCAAGCAGACCTACAACTATCCACCCCATAAGAAATATCCCCAAATTTCCATTATTTGCCCAAAAGAATAATGTAATTTCTAAAACCAGGTTATATGGTTTCTCATTCAAAACAGCAATGAGCAACTCAGGAAACAACAGGTGTTGGTGAGGATGCAGAGGAAGGGGAACGCTCTTGCACCGCTGGGGGGAATGCAAACTGGTGCAGCCACTCTGGAAACAGTATGGAGGTTCCTTAAAAAGTTAAAAATAAAACTACTCTATGATAGAGCATTTTTGTGCACTACTCGGTATCTACCCAAAGGATACAAAAATACTAATTCAAAGGGATACATGCACCCCAATGTTTATAGCAGCATTATCAACAATAGCCAAATTATGGAAACAGCCCAAGTGTCCATCATCTGGTGAATGGATAAAGAAGATGTGGTATATATAACACACAATGGAATATTACTCAGCCATAAAAAGGAATGAAATCTTGCCATTTGCAATGACATGGATGGAGCTAGAGGGTATTATGCTAAGTGAAATAAGCCAATCAGAGAAAGACAAATTTCAGATGATTTAAATTATATGTGGAATTTAAGAAACAAAATAAACAAACAAAGGGAAAGAAAAAAAAAACAGAGGAAGACAAACCAAGAAGCCAACTCTTAACCATAGAAAACAAACTGATGGTCACCAGAGGGGAGGTGGGTCAAACAGGTGATGGGGATTGAGGAGTGCACTTATTGTGATAAGCACTGGGGGTTGTATGGAAGTGTTATACCAGAACAGTACCTGAAACTGAGAAAACACTGTATGTTAACTAACTGGAATTTAAATAAAAACTTAAAAAGAAAAAAAACAACAATGGGCAATGTTATCCTGGCTGCCATAATCTGCCCGCAGCAAGTTTTCAAACCATCCAATTGTATTTCAGTTCCAATAATATTTTTAAATAATGCTTGTATTATTTTTTTACATATATAGGAGATAAAGTCCTCGCACTCGCTATTCCACAGTGTAGAGAATGCAGTTTCTGCTTGCATCCCAAGGGAAACTTCTGTGAGAAGCAAGAGTTAGTAATTTACCCCTTACTCTTTTATTAAATTGCCGATATTGTATAAGCACCGACCTGTAACTAAAGGAGCTCACTTCTGTCTTTACAACTCCGTATGTCTGTGCCACTGCCTGCACCTTTGTCTATGTCCCTGCGGAACAGTGCTCTGTCTTCTTCGGGATGAATGCTGGACGGGACTAGCAGATTTACCTGCGAAGGCAAAAAGATTCATCACTCTTTCCGCACAAGCACATTCACTGAATATTCTGTTGTACCTGAGATTGCAGTGGCAAAAATTGATGATGCTGCTCCTATGGATAAAGTCGGTGTCATAAGCTGTGAGGTGCCCACAGGTTACAGGGCTGCTGTGAACTCGGCCAAGGTAAGGAAGGTACCTGTGTGTTAGTATATGTCATAGTGATTTGCCTGGAAAACATGAAAATTACACCAATCAGTCTAAATGTTCAACTGTTATATACAGTTCCAAAAGTTTCAATGGTTGTTTTTGTTTGTTTGTTTGTTTTCTTAATTACATATGTGCCCAGGTTTGATTCCTAATACAAACATGCCTTGTGAATTTGTAGGTCACTCGTGGTTCCACCTGCGTGGTCTATGGACTTGGAGGAATCGGTTCAGCCATTGTCATGGGCTGTAAAGCATCTGGTGCTTCTAGAATCATTGGGGTTGACATCAATGAGGAGAAGTTTCCCCGGGCCAGAGCGTTAGGGGTCACTGATTGTCTCAATCCTCGAAAACTCAAGAAGCCTGTCCAGCAGGTGGTCATGGAAATGACAGGAGTTGGTGCTGACTTTGCCTTTGAGGCCATTGGACTCAGTGATGTCATGGTACGTGGGCGTGGGGCACAGTGATTAGATGCTTAATTGTGGGGAGGGACGTGCTAAATATCCTCATGTAGATAGGTATAAACTCTCCTGAACATAGGTTTTGGACCTGTGGACCCCATATGTAAAAACAGAATGTAAATTCACTCTAAAACATTTATTTTAAAAATAAAAGCAATAGACATTTAAAAATATGTCATTGTAGTACACAAAGTTTAAACACTCAAAAGGCCACAATACCAGTACTCCCTTTTCTTTATTCCTAGCTCTGCATATATGCTTTTATATTTAAGTATAAACATTATTTAATTCACATGATAATTATGGGTCCTGTATTAGAACAATTCATTCGTTTGAAAAATGAATTCCTATGCACCAATGTGTTATGTTCTAGGGATACAAGGGTGAATAAAATAGGTACCATACTCTTGGATCTTACAGTTTAGAGGACAGAATGTAGGCATTTAATATGTTTCAGTGTGTACCTAATGTACTTGACTGAAAAACAAAGGAAGTAAAAGTAGTGATATAGGTTACAGGAAAGAGAAAATAAGGCAAAACAGAGGAAAGGAGAAAGACAGAAAGGCTCAGTCAACCTGTTCTTAACCAGAAAGTAAAATAAATAGGTGTGAAGAAGTACACTATACATCCCTACAAAACCGAATTAAAAAAATAATAATGCTTCTCACACACCCGTATGTATGTATTTGTTTTGTTTTAATACAATCAAGACAATCTAGACAGAGAACCATGGCAAGTGAGAAGGTCTGGCAAAAGGCAGTGGGTAATTTTATTTAACAAATATGTGCTCCTTCCTCTATGCCAGATAGTGTTCTAAATATTTTAAGAATGATAAATCACTTAATCCTCATAACCATTCTACGAAGTGGGTAGTATTATTCTTCTTTTTACAAATGAAGAAACTGAGGCATAGGGAGGTTAAGTAACTTACCTAAGATCATACAGCTAGCAGTCTGTGCTCTTTCCCACTAAATTCTACTGGTTTTTCTAATGAGATCCTATCACTGGCAGTGTCGAAACTGAGATTGAGGTAGCATCTGGCCAGGAAGAGGTTCAAGATTTAGGAACGTGATTCCTTCCACCCCTGGTGGTAGTTGTTAGTTATTCATGGGAAGGTGCTTATGGTCATTATTATCATTATCAGCTTGCTGCTTGGGATTCCTGCCACCTGAGCCATGGTGTCTGTCTGATTGTTGGGCTGGCTCCATTAAATTCAAAGCTTTCCCTGGATGCATCAGTGACTATCTCCGGACGGACACTGAAGGGTGTATGCTTAGGAGGTAGGTCAATGAATAGGAGGACTGGTTGGTTGCTTTCATGAAATCCCTTTTGACTTTGTAGAAACATATAATTCAAAATTCCTCTCCTTGAGGAAACAGAGTTATAATGGTAGAAAAGACTTCTCCAGTGAGTTGGATAATTTTGCAAATCAATTTCGGTTAATTTAATTAAATAGGTTTTTTAAGCGCAAATACAATTTTTATCTCCTGCAAAATAGTTTTTGGGTTTTTCCAGTGTTTCAAATAATTCAGTCAACCTCAGTTCCAAGCCTGTGGGTTTGTTGTGCTCTTTTAGCAGCAAAACTTCTTAATTATATAATACTATATAAATAATATATATGTTTATATATGTGCATATATAAACTACATATATATATATAATTATTTATAAATATATAACACCAACCTGGTGTTTTGGCACCGACTCTTATCTTTCCAGAAGAGCCCTTATTTATGAGCAATATTGACCAAGAGCTTTAGTCAATTAACAATCCCATCTGTCTCCATTCCTCTGATAGTAAGTTCCCAATGCCATCTCCACGTGTGTGAATACAAAGGGGAGGAAATGTTTATGCCATGGTAAGCCCAGGAGCTGAGCTAGAGACTTCTAGTTTAAAGGGACCATTTTTCAATTCAGTAAAATGTGAATATTGACCCAGTTTTTCTCCAAAGGAATTCTAGGTAACAGAGTTTCTGGAGCAGCACACTTAGTAACAGTAGTCAATGGTTTCTGATGTATAAATGATTTATTTTCCATGTTCAGTGTCAAATTTTCAGAAGAAAATCTCATGACATCATTTTTTTCCCTTTGGTTGGTTTGGCATTTCTCAAATCTTATTACAATAGCCTTTTTGTTTTGCAGATTATAAAACCAGAGACTGTATTCCCCAATTAGTGACTGGCTACCTGCAAAATAAAATTAATATAGACCCATTAGTAACACATCAGTTGCCTTTTGACCAACTCCACAAAGCTTTCGAGTTGTACCATGCTGGAAAAACGTGAGTGCTTTATTTGATGATCTCCTATACCCTGAATTCACAGTGAAAATGACTCTTCAAACATTTCCAAGTGGTTTTGTGAGAAAGAGAGGGCTATTTGGATCTTCAATATCTTTCACATGCTCAACCCTATTCCCTACTGTCACCAGGAAAATAAAAGGTTTTACCTGTAGGCCCCTCTTCAGGAAATATCCACATCTATTTTAAAGAAATGTTTGAGAATTCAATATAATACCAAGAACCACTCCACACTACACTGGTCAATTGTGGGTTTGTTTGTTTGTTTTCTGGTCGGAGAAATGATCTAGTATGAATGAGGTGACATGACTGGAGTCATACAATCTTGCAAGGAATCTTAAAGGCCAAGGTTTAGACTCCACCTAGAGTACTAATGCTTCTACATCATTTCTGACAAATAGTCACTCTGCTTCAGCTAGCAGGGATGGAGTGTTCACTCAGTTTGTTCATTTGTTCATTCAGTGTTTATTTAGTGATAGTGCAATATTTGCCAGGACTGTCCTAAGTGCTGGAGACACAGAAGAGAACTAGCAACAATAAGTAAAAAGGAATTTCTCCTGTGATAAATGCTTTGATTTTCTCATTCTGATTCCAAGCACATCTCGCTTTCATATTCTGTCCCCCAACTCTACCTACATTTTCTGTTAAGTGATTTTTTTTTTTAAATTCAATCTAGGTCTTTAAATTTTACCCTGCTATAACACTTCCTTCGTTTTGACCCAGCATGTCAGCCCATCTAAATCAGGAATGATAATTGTTTCTATTTCCTTGGTGTTAGTCGTGATCTCTCCCCTCTCATTCATAATTTTATTAATTTGGGTCCTTTTTCTTTTCTTTTGGATAAGTCTGGACAGTGGTTTCTCAATCTTATTAATACTTTCAAAGAACCAGCTTCTAGTTTCGTTGATCTGCTCTACTGTATTTCTGGTTTCTAATTCACTGATCTCTGCTCTAATCTTAATTTTTCTCTACTCGTGCATGGTTAGGCTTCATTTGTTGATTTTTTTCCAGTTCTTTAAGGTGTAAAGTTAGTGAATTCGGGATTTTTCTGCTTTTTTTGAGTGAGGCTGGCATGGCTATGTATTTCCCCCTTTGGACCACCTTTGCAGTATCCAATAGGTTTTGGACCGATGTGTTTTTGTTCTCATTGGTTTCCACGAATTGTTTAAGTTCTTTGATTTTCTGGTTGACCCAAACATTCTTTTTTTTTTTTTAAGATTTTATTTATTTGACAGAGAGAGACACAGCAGTAGAGGGAACATAAGCAGGGGGAGTGGGAAAGGGAGAAGCAGGCTCCCTACTGAGCAGAGAGCCCAATGCGGGGCTCAATCCCAGGACCCTGAGATCACAACCCGAGCCAAAGACAGACGCTCAACAATTGAGCCACCCAGGCCCCCCTAACCCAAACATTCTTAAGCAGGGTGGTCTTTAGCTTCCAAGTGTTTGAATTTCTTCCAAATTTTCTCTTGTGATTGAGTTCCAGTTTCAAAGCATTGTGGTCTGAGAATATGCAGGGAATAATCTCAGTCTTTTGGTATCGGTTGAGACCTGATTGGTGACCCAGTATGTGGTCTGTTCTGGATTAAGTTTCATGTGCGCTCGAGAAGAATGAGTATCCTATTGTTTTAGGGTAGAATGTTCTGTATATATCTATGAGATCCATCTGGTCCAGTGTGTCATTCAAAGCTCTTATTTCTTTGTTGATTTTCTGCTTAGATGGTCTGTCTATTGCTGAGAGTGGAGTGTTGAGGTCTCCCACTATTAACATATTATTATCAATATGTCTCTTTATTTTGGTTAACAATTGGCTTATGTGGTTGGCTGCTAGCATGTTGCGGGCATAGATATTTACAATTGTTAGATCCTTTTGTTGAATAGACCCTTTAAGAATGATATAGTGTCCTTCTGTGTCTCTAACTACAGTCTTTAGCTTAAAATCTAATTTGTCTGATATGAGAATTGCTACCCCAGCTTTCTTTTGAGGTCTGTTGGCATGAAAAATGGTTCTCCAACCCTTCACTTTTAGTCTGGATGTATCTTTAGGTTCAAAATGAGTCTCTTGTAAACAGCATATGGATGGGTCCTGTCTTTTTATCTAATCTGCAACCCTGTGCCATTTCATGGGAGGATTTAGGCTGTTCACGTTGAGAGTGATTATTGAAAGATATGATTTTATTGTTGCCTGTAAAGTCCTTGTTTCTATAGATTGTCTCTGTAAATTTATATTCTATATCATTCTTGGGGTCTTTATCCTTTTATAGAGCCCCCCCTTAATATTTCTTGCAGGGCCAGCTTAGTGGTCACATATTCTTTCAGTTTCTGCCGGTCCTGGAAGCTCTTCATCTCTCCATCCATTCTGAATGACAGCCTTGCCGGATAAAGTATTCTTGACTGCAAGTTCTTCTCCTTTAGTACCCTGAATATGTCTTGCCAGCCCTTTCTGGCTTGCCAGGTCTCTGTGGACAGTTCTGAGGTTATTCTGTTGTTCCTCCCTCTGTATGTAAGGAATCTCTTCCGCCTAACTACCCTTAAGATGGTTCCCTTGGTCCTAAGATTTGCGAGTTTTACTATTACATGCTGTTTTCCTTGATCTTGGGAGGGGTCCTCTCTGCCTCTAGGACACGAATGCTTGTTTCATTCCCCAGATTAGGGAAGTTCTCAGCTACAATTTGCTCAAATACAATTATCAGAAATTAACATCAACAACTATATGCCAGTAAATTAAGCAACCTGGAAGAAATGGATGCCTTCCTGGAAATCTATAAACTACCAACACTGAAACAGGAAGAAATTGACAACCTGAATAGACCAATAGCCAGTAACGAGATTGAAGCAGTGATCAAAAACCTCCCAAAAATCAAGAGTCCAGGACCTGATGGATTCCCTAGGGAATTCTACAAAACATTCAAAGAAGAAATAATACCTATTCTCCTGAAGCTGTTTCAAAAAATAGAAACAGAAGGAAAGCTTCCAGACTCATTCTATGAGGCCAGCATTACCTTGATCGCAAAACCAGGTAAAGACCCCATCCAAAAGGAGAATTTCAGATCAATAACCCTGATGAATATGGATGCCAAAATTCTGAACAAGATCCTAGCTAATAGGATCCAATAGTACATTAAAAGGATTATACATCACAACCAGGTGCGATTTATCCCTGGGATGCAAGGGTAGTTCAACATTCATAAATCAATCACTGTGATAGAACACGTTAATAAGAAGAGGGAGAAGAACCATCTGGTCCTCTCAATTGATGCAGAAAAAGCATTTGACAAAATACAGCATCCTTTCCTGATTAGAATTCTTCAGAGTATAGGGATAGAGGGAACATTCCTCAATTTCATAAAAACCATCTATGAAAAGCCCACAGCAAATATCATTCTCAATGGGGAAAAGCTGAGAGTTTTTCCCTTAAAGTCAGGAACATGACAAGGATGCCCACTCTCACCACTATTGTTCAACATAGTGCTTGAAGTCTTAGCAACAGCAATCAGAAAACAGAAAGAAATAAAAGGTATTCAAATTGGCAAAGAAGAAGTCAAACTCTCTCTCTTCGCAGATGATATGATACTTTATGTGGAAAACCCAAAAGACTCCACCTCCAAATTACTAGAACTCATACAGCAATTCAGTAATGTGGCAGGATACAAAATCAGTGCACAGAAATCAGTCGCTTTCCTATATACTAACAATGTAACTGTAGAAAGAGAAGCTCGGGAATCGATTTCATTTACAACAGTACCTAAAACCATAAGATAACCTGGAATAAACCTAACCAAAGAGATGAAAGACCTATACTCTAGAAACTACAGAACACTTATGAAAGAAGTTGAAGACACAAAAATATGGAAAAACATTCCATACTCATGAATTGGAAGAATAAACATTGTTAAAATGTCTATGCTGCCCAGAGCAGTCTATACTTTCAATGCCATCCCGATCAAAATACCAATGGCATTTTTCAAAGTGCTAGAACAAACAATCCTAAAATTTGTATGGAACCAGAAAAGACCCTGAATCACCAAGGAAATGTTGAAAAAGAAAAACAAAGCTGGGGGCATCACGTTGCCTGGTTTCAAGCTATATTACAAAGCTGTGATCACCAAGAAGCATGGTACTGGCACAAAAACAGACACATAGACGAATGGAACAGAATAGAGAGCCCAGATATGGACCCTCAACTCTATGGTCAACTAATCTTTGACAAAGTAGGAAAAAAGATCCAGTGGAAAAAAGACAGTCTCTTCAATAAATGGTGCTGGGAAAATTGGACAGCTATATACAGAAGAATGAAACTCAACCGTTCGCTTACACCATACAAAAAGATAAACTGTAAATGGATGAAAGACCTCAATGTGAGACAGGAATCCATCAAAGTCCTAGAGGAGAACATAGGCAGTAACCTCTTCGACATCGGCCACAGCAACTTAATTCAAGACACGGCTCCAAAGGCAAGGGAAACAAAAGGGAAAATGAACTTTTGGGACTTCATCAAGATAAAAAGCTTCTGCACAGCAAAGGAAACAGTCAACAAAACTAAGAGGCAACCCACGGAATGGGAGAAGATATGTGCAAATAACACCACAGAAAGGGGTTGATATCCAAGACCTATAAAGAACTTCTCAAACTCAACACCCAAAAACCAAATAATCAAGTCAAAAAATGGGCAGAAGACATGAACAAACACTTCTCCAAAGAAGACATACAAATGCCTAACAGACACATGAAAAAATGTTCATCATCATTAGCCATCAGGGAAATTCAAATCAAAACCACACTGAGATACCACCTTACATCAGTTAGAATGTCAAAAATTGCAAGGCAAGAAACAACAAATGTTGGAGAGGTTGTGGAGAAAGGGGAACCCTCTTACACTGTTGGTGGGAATGCAAGTTGATACAGCCACTTTGGAAAACAGTGTGTAGGTTACTCAAAAAGTTAAAAATAGAGCTACCCTGGGACACCTGGGTGGCTCAGTCATTAAGCGTCTGCCTTCGGCTCAGGCCATGATCCCAGGGTCCTGGGATTGAGCCCTGCATTGGGCTCCTGCCCTGCGGGAGACCTGCTTCTCCATCTCCCACTCCCCCTGTCTGTGTTTCCTCTCTCCCTGTGTCTCTCTCTGTCAAATAAATAAATAAAATCTTAAAAAAAAAATAGAGCTATCCTATGACCCAGCAATTGCACTACTGGGCATTTACCCTAAAGACACAGATGTAGTGAAAAGAAGGGCCATAAGCACCCCAATGTTCATAGCAGCAATGTCCACAATAGCCAAACTGTGGAAAGAGCCAAGACAAACGGATAAAGAAGATGTGGTCCATATATACAATGGAATATTACTCAGCCATCAAAAAGGATGAATACCCAACTTTTGCACTGGCATGGATGAGACTGGAGGAGATTATGCTAAGTGAAATAAGTCAAGTAGAGAAAGTCAATTATCATATGGTTTCACTTATTTGTAGAACATAAGGAATAGCATGGAGGACGTTAGGAGAAGGAAGGGAAAAATGAAGGGGGGGGATCAGAGGAGCAGACAAAACATGAGAGACTATGGACTTGGGGAAACAAACTGAGGGTTTTAGAGGGGAAAGAGGGTGGAGGGATAGGTTAGCCCAGTGATGGGTATTAAGGAGGGCACGTTCTGCATGGAGCACTGGGTGTTATACGCAAACAATGAATCATGGGACACTACATCAAAAACTAATGATGTACTGTATGGTGACTAACATAACATAATAAACAAACAAACAAACCAGGAATGAAGAATCAAGAAACCTCATCTGAAATTTTATAATCAAATTTTGGAGAATGCAGAGAGAGGATTTAGCAGGCAGCAGACACACAACAAAAGGAAAGGAACCCCCCCCCAAAAAAATGCATTTTTTCTTTCCTAATCAGACACAGTGCTAGATTCTGGGATTGACAGAAGCTGATCTGAAGCTGTAGCGGAGGGTTTGGATGTCTTTGTGGTCATGCAGCCTGAGGGAGCAGGACTCAAAGCTGAGGCCTTCCTTTCTGATGTTGGATCCTGATGTTGATCCTGCTTTCACCGTATCCAGGTGGTGATATTAATGATGATCCCAATCAGATGATCAGGTGATATTTCATACAGGTGAACTAGGTTGAAGGTGGAGTCAGGAGGAGGAGCAAGGGAGAAGGTAGGCAACGCAACCTCACATGGTACAGTGCAAAATTGCTTTGCTGAAATCACTGTTTCCTAAACAAATCAATCATTTTATTATTGCGCTTTTATTTTTCAGCATCCGCTGTGTTCTACTGTTCTGAGATCCCAGATGATAAAAGGTGCAAGAGCATCCTTGGGGATTTCATTCTTTCCTGTATCACCTCTCTGATTGTACCAGTAGAGAGGAAGAGTATCAAAGTTGGAAATGTAGTGTAATTCTGCGAAATAAAATAAGTGCAACTTGAATGTAGCTGTAATAAAATAACTTCTTAGAGAACAGATGTTATATAATTCATCCTATAACTTTAAGAAGAGAGATGATGGGATTTAGTGGTGACACTGTTGATATGTTCATCAACCCAAATGATCTCTGTCACCAGTCCACAAAATGTGTCATTGAGTTATCCCTTGTTCCCATCCTCAGAGTACCTCCATAATACACAGATTTCTCTTTATCTTTCATGTCACAAAAGAGTTTGCAGGCTTTTGCTGCTCCCTCAACATGCTGGGCTGTCATAAATCTTTGGAAGGCTATCTCAGGACACAGTAAGCCATTTTCTATCCTAATCCTACACTATCCTATGCCTCTACCCCTGAAATGTCAAGCCACAGTTCCCATCTGCTTTCAAACACGAAAACACATTTGGGAAATCTTGCCAACTCCACCCCTAGGTAGCAAGTATAGGACCCTCTCAGAAGAATTCCTCCATGTCTACAACCTCCTAACTTCCTTTTCAGTCTTTGAGTCAGTGTAATCATTTCCTCATTGGGGTTGGGAGATTGGAAGCAGAAGGAAAAATTTAGGTCTTCTCACCCTGCTTCTTTTCTAATATTTTTCATCTGTCCTTGAGTCATTTCCACTCTCCTTAATCCTTCAGCTTTTGAAACACAAAAGCCAAGAGGAAAATTCCTTTTATAATTGTTTAATTGCAATATCCCTTCCTGATATTTGGGCAGAGAATTGCCAGTTGACATAATAGGAAAAAGTTCAAGAATTAAAGAAAACACATGGAAAAAAAAGTTTTTAAAAGGTGACTATGTTAAATACGATCCTGACAATCTGGTTCTTTCACCTTCACAAGCCCTTCCCTCTCTGAGTATCAACTGCCACACTGTAAAATGGGGAAAATAAAAGCCATGTTGTTGGATGATTTTTAAGACTGGAGATCATGTGCATAAACATAAAAATAAAATGGAAAATCTCTAAAAAGCATAAAGAATAAAATAATTAGGATTTTTAAAAGAGGAAGAAGATAGAGCAAAGAATACTTTAAACTAATCAATTATAAATAAAAATTAACTGTAGAATTAAAACATCCTATAGAATAAAACAACAAGTAAGACTAGGAAGAACTGAATTTCAAAAAATACAATGAAAACTGTTTTAAATAAAGTATAAAAGCTATCATGGTGACTGAAAATATGAGAAAGAAAATAAAACAGTAATAGAACATATTCTTAATAAATCACAAATAGAAAAAAAGCTGGTAGCACTGTTGCATCTTTATCAGAAGATTGGGGTTGGAGTACCCAGCCATCAAGGACAGTTTCTTAAGCTAGAGGACCTCTGCACTTGCAAAGAAGCTTGGGAACCAAGAAACATGAAACACATACTAGGGCCAAGAGCAGGACATACTTAGATGGAAAGTTTTTTCTTCGCTTTCTCTGAGAGCCTTATGTCCCCAGACATGACTAGAGAGACATCAAGTTAACCCAACTGCCCTCAAATTACCTAGCTCATGTGTGGACTTCAGTCTAAGAAGGACAGAGTGTCAATAAATATTCACATGCTTTGGTAAGGCCAGCTGGCTAAATTTGGGGGTGGGGAGGGTGAGAGGGATGAAGATGGATTCCTTACACTCACTGCACTCAAAATTAATTTTCAGACAAATTTACATTTTAAATGTAAAAATTAAATAATAGAGAAAAATGATTTAAAAACACAGACTCTGTGATTATATTACCAAATGTTAGTCTTTGCTGTTGAGCAAAATAACTAATCTCTCTGTCTCTCTGTTATTTCTTCTGTGAAATGGAGAAAAGATTCCTAAGCCATAGGGCTGAGATGAGGATTATATGATGCATAGAAAGTACTTAAAACAGTGACTGGCATTTAGTAAGTAACCAAGTGTATTCTGGTGACTTAATTAAGTAGGGACATGTCACATTATTCTTTGAACTTCTAGCATCTACCATGTATATAACATATAAGGCTATTATATATTAATATAAATCCTATATTAGTGGTATAAATAAATTGCTATGAGGGAAGCAAAAAGGATATGATCTGTTGGTACAAGAGCTCCAGAAACTGAGTAGAGAGTGAAAAGATACACTGAATTATTTTTGGGTTGTGAAGGAAATAAGGAGTATGGGGTAGAGAATGAAGGAAATAGGCAGTCAAGGAGTATTTCTCTTGAATTTAAAAATGAAAAGAGCTGAGGCTTGATGTTTAGCTCTGTTTTTAAAATGTGGCCCAGCTAAGTATATATGGATATAGATATGGATATGGATCTGGGACCCATGACTGCCAAGGTGTTCTTCCCAAGTTCATAGGCCAGAAGACCATAAGCTAGACTCAGCCCACTAACTCCCATTTCTTACTGCTCATTATTGGAATCATTGAGAACCACAGAGATTGAATGGAGGTAGAAAGAAAACAGAACACATGACTTTGATCAGACTTGCATCCTCTCTCCCCTTATCAGTACACCATGTCTGCAACAAATCTGTGAAGTGCTGTTATTTTATTGGTTTTTGCAGCTGGGCCATAAACTGACTAACATATAACAAAACTATTCTCCCACTCTTCAAATCTGTGTGGGAAGGAAGATGAGAGAGAGAGGAGACTTTCCATCTTCCACTTCACTTCTTATGTACTATGTCAATTTTTAGAATGAACATGTATAAGTAATATACATACATGATTATATATATACATATGACATATATCACACATATAATGACACACATATATATATGATGACAACATAAAAGATGAGTACACGGGACTTCCAAGGAAGAAGGTAGAGTATGAGGACCTTACACTCACCTCCTCCCACAGATACACCTAGATAACACCCACATCAGTGTAAATAACCCAGAAAATGATCCAAAGATGCAGAACAGACTCTCCACAGCTAAATGTAAAGAGGTCACACCAAAAAAGGTAGGAAGGGCAGACACAATTGGAAACTAAACTGACCCCTAGAACTAGGAGGAAGGGACATCATGGGCACCGAGGGGAGAAGAGCAGATCTCACCCCAGGCATCCCAGGCACAGGGGACCTGCACTAGGAAGATGAATTCCTGTAATATTTGGCTTTGAAAACCAAAGGGATTAACTTCATGAATTCTTATGGTCAGTGGGGCTTAACATCTGGAACTTTAAAAATTGGCAGGCTCAGCTCTGGGAGAGTGGGAAGGTAATAGGAAACTGAGTCCCTGTCCTTAAAGAGTCAGCACAACAAACAACTCCACTGAGATACAGCATAGAAGTAGCAGTTTGGAAAACATCTGGGGTATAAAGGAAGGAGATTTGTTTACTAATCTCAGAAAGTATGCTGGAAGTGTGGGGATCTTTGGGAGGCTTCTCCAAGAACACAGGAGCTGGCAGATGCCATTCCCTCCCAATCCTCCCCTCACCTGCCACCCAGTCTAGATACATAGACACCTGCAGAAAATAGCACAGCACAAACACTTTCCACCTCGCCTGCTAACAGTGCATCCTGCCCCTGTGCTCTTCTGTGGACCAGCCCCCTCCAACTCAACCTCAGCAAGAGTTTTCCAAAGCAGCTACACGTCCTCTCCCACAGCAGCCCAAACTTTGCAAACACCACATGCCCCGCCCCTGAATTCTGCACACCTGCCCCCTGTAACACACCCTAGGCAAGAGTTCATCAAAGTGGCATCATAAATATGGCAGTATGCAAATCAGCCTCAACAGGGGTCAACACCACCCCAAAGTGACTCCTGCTACAGGAAGAGGGAAAGAACACCACACACACCAGTTTGACTGTGCAGTGGGCTGGGGACAGACATCTTGGTCTGACTGCCGGCCCCATCTGCCAATGAATGTCACTCAGGGAACAAGGCAAGGAGAGCACCCTGCAGTTCAGTGCTACTAAAGGTATAGCAAATGCCTAGTCTGACCCAACACAAGCACAAGGGCACCCCAGAATGGCCCACTAACAACACAGGGATCAACCCCTGTTCACAATAGGCAAAAAGAGCCATCCAGTCCAGATGATTGGACTGAAGGCAAACACAACTCAGCCACAATAGTAGGGTGCATGCAACACACATAGGAGACACTCTTGATGTGCCAGATTCTGGTGAACAGGGGACATTGCACTGCAGGACACTACAGGACTTCTTCATAAGGCCACTACTTTCAAGAGCAGGGGATATACCTGTCTTTGTTAACAGAGAGAATTAAATAAAATGAGGAAAGAGAGGAATATGTCCCAAGGAAAGAATAGGACAAAATCACAGCAAGAGAGCTAAACAGAGTGGAGATAACTAATAAGTCTTTTAGAGAATTTAAAGCAATGGTCATAAAGATAGTCACTGGACTTGAGAAAAGAGTGGAGGACCTCAGTGAGACCCTCAACAAAGAGATAGAAAATATCAAAAAGAACGAATCAGGGGCACCTGGGTGGCTCAGTCAAGGTTAGGTGGCTGCCTTCTGGTCAGCCCATGATCCCAGGGTTCTGGGATCAAGTCCCACATCAGGCTCCTTGCTCAGCAGGGAGCCTGCCTCGCCCTCTCCCTCTGCCTGCTGCTCCCCCTGTTTGTGCTCTATCCCTCTCTCGTAAATAAATAAAATCTTTAAAAAAAAAAGAACCAATCAGCAATGAAGAACTCAATAACTGAAATTTAAAATACGCCAAAGAAAGCAGAAGAACAGATCAGTGACCTAGAGAACAAAGTAATGGAAAGCAATCAAGCTGAACAGGAGAAAGATAAAAGAATAATAAAAAATGTGAATAGATTAAGGGACTTCAACAACACCTTCAAGAATAAAAACATTCACATTATAGGGATCCCAGGAGGAGAAGAGAGGGGAAACAGGGCAGAACATTTATTTGAAGAAATAATAGCTGAAAACTTCCCAAATCTGAGGAAAGAAATAGATATCCAGATGCAGAAGGCATAGAGATCCCCCAACAAAATCAACCCAAAGACGTCCACACCAAGACACATAGTAATTAAAATGGCAAGAAGTAGAGATAAAG